GGATGAGACCTGCGTGACAATTAGGATGATGGTCGGGATGGTCGGGATGGATGAGACCTGCGTGACAACAGTCAGGATGACGGTCGGGATGGTCGGGATGGTGTTGCCTAGCACGCGCCCGTCATTCCTGCGATTCCGATCTGACCAATTAGATTCCGATCCTATGAATCCGATCCGAACACCACCCATAGGTATCATATAATTAATCAAATAGAGTCAAAATGACTCAAATAAGATCTTGATAGATCTTGATGTGTTTAATATGTTCTCCCCACGACAGTTTTGCCAGGCTTTAGCCCGACAACGACTTGCAGCAGAGCAGAAGCTGGAGGAGGTTCCTGAAGTTGCCGCGGTTGCAGAGGGCTTTTGAATGCTTTTGATTAAGTTGCCACGAAGTAGGAAGGCTGAACAATGCCATAGGCGCCATACCACTGAGATGGAGGAAGCCCACTCGCCAGTAAGACAGGTCACGGGCGAGTTGTTGGAGCAAGTGAATAAGCGGGATGCTCTGGAAGCTGAGGCTTGGGAACTCAAACGGGCAGTCCCAAACTGCGAAACATATCGCGAAACGAATTATTTGGTGTAACCTTGGAACGTCCTACAAGCATGTACTGACTGGTGCCCCAGAAGGTTGGAAACGAAACCTTATGGGATCCTCATCAAGTGCTGGAGCATGTGAAGCCCTTCAGTCACTGTCAGTGCAGAGTAGTGTTCAATGCTTTTGGTGTTTTGCATGGATGGATTTTCAGGAACATTGCTTGCACCAATGGCCGCAGTGGGACTCACGCGACACTTCTTCGTGTAGACCTTTTAGCCGCCCTCAATGATCTGCAGCATACCCACTTTTGCTTGGGTGCTGGAGGGAGGTCATAAAGCATCCACTGTTGCTCTCACCAACCAATTGGCTGGTCCAATGCGGCTGTCTCAGCCCTAAAATCTGTGGCATGGCCTGGGGGAATGTCCCACTTAAAGGCTCCAGGGTCTCCTGCATTTGCTGTCTTCCGACATTGTGCTGGTTTGTCTGACCATCGAAGCAGCCGGACCACTCGGTTTGGTGAATATTGGTCAATGGCAACGGCCGGAAAGCCCTCGGTCCTCGTTTGCTGGTCTTGGATTCAAAACGATTGAAGGACAAGAAGTTACTACTGTAGGGGCTCCTGGCCTTACTACTAGGAGCAAGGATGTTACTAGGGGCTCCTGGCATCGCTACTAGGAACAAGAAGGGACTTAGAGCTCTACTCGGTCGACTCGGTCGCCTCCGAACGGGGGTCACGTGGAACCGACCACCAGATCGGTCCGAGTCCCGTGGATGGACTTTTCAAGAGTGAGTGCAGATAGGCTTACATGATCTTACGTGTTTTGTTCAGTTTCATGCCATGCTCAACCATGAGTCTCATATTCATCCCATCTCAACCCCAGTGTTTCAAAGCTCAAAGGGTGAAGGCCTGTGGCATACCTTCATTCATGCAGTCAGTGAGAAATCATGGCCTTAAGCTGGATGGTTCCATCAGTTAGTTGATGGCATGTTTTTGTGATACCATCATATGGATTGTTCAAAAGACAAGCTGCGGGTCCAATGCTTTGGAGCCCACCCAACGATTGATCGAACTCGATCCAGATTGAATCTCTTCGCCACGAGCTTGAAGTACAGAAGCAAGCGGCCGACATCAATCAGAAGTCATTCCAAGAAAGGCCTGGGGCTCAAGATCCATTCTACACCGTGTTGTTATTCATTGTGATTCATGGTTCGTTCCCTCGCAACATCCCCTTGTGAAATCAAGAATACACTGTATATATAGTATACATAAGTTTGTGTGGTTAGTTATATGAAAAGCAACTTGGACCCAGCCTGCTGACTTGGTCATAGTTCGGGGACATGGCATGCAACATCGCAACTCTGACCAGCCGAGCAAGGTGTGCTTTGGCCATGGATGAGGAGGAGCGGCTGAAGGCAGAATTGGGGAGAACCACCAAGAGCGAGCGGGCTGGGAGCCTAGCAGGCTTAGATGGCCCGGTGTGTGTGTGTGTGTGTGTGGGGTGTTGTGACGACAAAAGTAAGGAGTAAGACATGCTGGCATTGTCTTGCACCAGATCATGACCTCAAAAGTTAGACAATTTTAATTGAATCTGGCATGTGGACTAGAATGAACGCTGCCACTTGTCCATCCAATTTTGTTAGAGATGTTTGGAGCTGTTAGAGAATGTATTTGGGTTTTAGAACCAAAGGAGTCCGGCTGTCTGGCTAACGCAGTTCAAATAAGGACTGGATGTGTTCATTGGTGTTGTTTCCAATGTGTGTCAGTGTGTTTGCATTTGGTTCTTTGTTCCTGGATGTTCCTGGTAACTTGAATGAGAGCTTCTTTGAATGAAAAACGGAACACGTTAAGGTTCTTGACGTCGCATTTGTGTTGCCCACAGCAGAACCCTCATATTCTGCCGGTGTTCAAAAAACCTTCAATTGCCGCTTGGAGAAGTCGTTGCAAAAAGAAATCATTCTTTTGTACAAAAAGTCATTCCCTCCACCTAATGGCTTCTAGTTGCTAGTAGCTTCTTGTTACTAGTTACTAGTAATGGCCTCCACCCTAGTAGCGATGGCCTCCACCGAGCATAGCTTCGGTCGTCACTAGACCCGGTGCCTAAGGAATATCGACGGCAAGCCTTAGAGGCCCAGAAAAGTCTTGATGAGGAGAGGGTGCACGAAAAGTTTGGTTTGGCATGGACAGCTTGATGCGGGACCATCAGCAACCCAATATGACACAGGAAATTCATTCGAGAGGGTAGACATGTTTGTGAACATCGAAGGAGGATTGAACCGAAAAAGTCTTTTTCTTGGTTGAAACAGCTTCCCTTTTTCCAGACTGCTGAGCAACTTCATCTTGCTCGAAAAGAGTTGGAGTCCAGCAAACAGACCGCAGGGCACTGAGACACAGCAGATTCCTGAAATATGTTTTGGTTTGTCAAGCATGCGTAGTCCATACTGGTACTAGGAGAGCTGAATTCCGGCAATGTTTACCATTGAGGCAAATTCTTTGCTTGCAAGCATAGTTCATGAATACGGTAACTTCAAGATTTTGTACGGTTGTTGATACGCATGATATGGGTGCCACCCCATGTCTTATGTAGTTTTAGTTTGGCGACCTGCAATATGTGGTTTTGTTCATTTCAGCAGTTTTGTCACGTGAGTGAAGCCACACACAAACTGGCAAATGCCGCTCTACATTTTTGCATGTGTTGTGCTGATTGCTTTGATCTATCTTCAATTCAGCACTCGTATGAAGATGGATGAAATGAACGAATGGATACCACTGCAGAGACGAATGAATTCAACACCTGAACTTGTTCCTAGTAGCTTCTTGTTACTAGTAAGGCACTTGTTACTATTAGCGTGGCACCACCTTCATGACCCTCTGAGGCCGAAGAGTTTCTGCAAAGTACAGAAACGCTGCAACGGCGTTTGCTTGACGTCAAGGATTTGTACGAGGACAAGGCAACCGGTAGTGAAGCCGTAGACCACGATGGATACCGATACCCAAAGGACCTTGTTACAGTTTGAACGGAGGTGTTGGGGGACTTTTCAGTGGGACTGTTATATCAAAACATCACGGCGAAAGAAACGCATTCAGTCATTGAGTAAATACACAGTATGTCTCAGAGTGTGGCCAAAACCAAATCCATCGAAGCACTCCTTTTACTTCTATCCAGATTCCATAATCTAGGCGCCGGACAATCATTACTGCGAAAAGCCTTGTTGAGCATGTGTTCATGTCATCATATCAGGTTTTCTGAAGTGGTGCTAGGTGCTTAAACGTGTTCCAAGTTTGTTAATGTTTCCTTGGTTTTTCTTGATGTACCACAGCGTCCCTCAAAGTTTCCTAAAGCTTCTTTTAGTATTTGATGCTAGAATAGAAGGTTGGCCTGTGGGAGGGCCGATTCTGAGGTCAGAGTGGAAATATGTGCTCGATTGATCCCCGTTCTCCCCACATGTTTCCAGACGAGACTTGTTCCAAAACCCATCTAGAGTGTTCAATTCGTATCAGCACTTGCCACAAGAATCTTGAAAAGTGTGTGTGTGTGTGTGTGCGTGGTGATGGTCTTGCTGGCATGCTAGGGTATCGCATGAAATGAAGCACCATTGATCAACAAAAAGATCCTGCACCTGTCTACACACGATGTTGAGAATTTGGGGCATGGCTCTACGGCCTTAGCAGAGAGTCCTCACTCAAGCGCACTTCCCACAGAAAGCGCAATTGGCCTCGACGGAGGCCAAGGCCAGAGGGGGTCGGGGCGGTTGCACTCCTGGGTGAGTGGCTAGTAGGATTGAACTGAATACAGTTGATGGATGTTGATTGTCATTCCTTGTTCCGCTCATTCAGGAAGCATTAACTGTAATCATTTAATCTATATAATCATGTTATAAATGCACAGGACTCCCAAGCCTAAGCTTCTCAAGTTATAAGTTTGATGAGCCAACAGAAGAGTTCAGTCGCAAACGAACAGATGATAGTTTTGTGGTACCTTATGCAAGATCATTAGACTTATATAAGCCTTCTGTGGTATTGATGATGTGATTGAATTTATCATGGATTCGCCATGCACGTGCTACGCACCCTTCCGAGTTGGCTGAGCTGCAGATCGAAAAGGATCGATGGACAGGCACAGAGGAGGCCTGACCATTCCATAGCCCAAAAGCCACCAGGACTATGGGACCAAAACAGAAGAAGTGCTTTTCACACTGCCTGTGCCAAGATGTAAGTTTGAGGATTTTGTTGCAGATGAAACACGACTTGCTTTTAGTGGTGGGCAGTCCTTTCAGTTTTCAACCCTTCCCAATTCACTACAGCCTTTTCCGTAGGCAACCAAGAAGCAAGCAGAACGGGTGGAGGCTTGTCCAAGAAGCCTGTTGACCTGTGTGCTGGAGCTGCGAAACCTTTCAAATCTCCGGTTGTTGAAGGGTAGGCTAGAAGCACAGGAAATGCACAACATGTTCCTCTTACATGCACGAACCGAAGCCTGGGCGGCCAAAAGTTAGTTCTAGACCCTCTCTGGTTGAACGCGGTTGAACGTTATTTTTGTTCTTTCGAATAGTTGTTTTTTTGTTTTTAGGTTATTTGTTGTGTTATTAAAATATGTTTCTTATTTTTGTTCCAGGCGCGGCTCAAAGAGGAAATGGCCACCATGAAGATGGAAAGAGAACAGGAGTTCTCCAGCTTCAAGAGCCTGGAACCTAAGATAGAAATTCTTTGTTAGTGTAAATATATATATATATATATGTATTTGTATATATTATATGTAATGCTTACTTTATATATGTATGTGTTTAAATTAAAGAGGGGAGTAGGCCGCTAGTGGAGGTAGGTAGTAGCTACGTAGGTAGCTAGCAGAAGAGGTAGCTAGTACCTACAAGTAGCTACTACCGACAGGACGCAGGATAGCTCACACTTCTTCGAGGAAGCTCCCCCCGCCGCCCTAGATTTACTAAGGCGGCGGGGGAAGCTTCCTTGAAGAAGCGCTTGCACGAATGATTTAGTTTCTAGATTTTTGGGGAAACTCAAGCTAACTAGAAGGCAGCTTGCTACTAGTAGCTTCTTGCCCTTACCTTCTTCCTTTCCTCTCTTGTTCTCAGATGTGAGTTCTTGGAACGTGAAGAAGCGAGTCGCGTTGCAACTCCCTGCGCGCCGCTCCTGCAAGGCTCGCAGCAAAGACTCACCGATGACTTGAAAAAGAGGCCACAAAAAACAGACTGAGTGCATCCTGACTGCTGCAAAAGAGATGCACGCTGACACCGAATACGGATGCTTTTTGGACTTGTACCAAACAGACGCAGACCTTCGATGATCCACAGGGCCGGCCGCTATCGTTAGGCTGCGATGCAGTGAACAGAGGGCTTCAGAGGCTGAATCAAAGGCGGGGGATTGGAGAGCTGGACTGAAGAGGTGCATGGATTGCTATTAGGTTGGAGGTCATTGTTGGAGGCCATTGCAATTAGGTTGGAGGCCATTGCTAGTAGGTTGGAGGCCACTGCTAGTAGGTTGGAGGCCATTGCTAGTAGGTTCGAGGCCATTGCTAGTAGGTTGGAGGCCATTGCTAGTAGGTTGGAGGCCACTGCTATTAGGTTGGAGGCCATT